GCTATCAATGAAACTCTGCACCGGTCACGTATAGTGAGTGACCTTCTGTAAGAGAATAACAACTTTGCTTCCACTTTTAAAACTTCTTTATCTAACTTAATAACGTTTACCAGCCGCCGCCAGACATAAAAAAAATCGCCGAAACTTGTCTTTTCGATAATTTCCTCGTAATATTCATTCGAAAAATATTTAAATTTCTTTTTTAAAATACTTTTCTGGCGAAGGAGTGCCAACCGACCATTAAAATCGTCTGTCGCTCTTGTCGAGAACCGTTGTTTGAAGTCCTCGAAATAAATTAAATAAAATGATGCGTAAAATTTTAATTTTTCGACTTTTATTTGATGAAAATCAAAATATTCTGAAAAAAGTCGCGATTTATTTTATTAAGATGTGAATTAATCGATAACTTTTGTACTTTTATCGGCGAAAATTTATTTATAATTGAAAAAAAAGCATTGTAATAATTAATTTTACTGGAGAAACGATTAAAATATCTACATTTGGTTTAAAAAAATAGCCGCCATTTCAAGATTTTTGCGTCATCGACATCGTTAAAGTAACAATTTCAGAATTTATCAGAAATTCAAAGAAATCAAAGTATTAATAGATTGAAGGATTTTTAAAATTTTTTTAAATAAATAAATCTGTAAGATTGCAATGTTTTAACGTCATAAAAAAAAGTTACGTAAATACAGTATAGCCTGCTGATAAAGATAACATTTGCTTAACAGTGGTTCCTAAAAGAACGAACGTATGAATTATTCTTTTAACGCTATCAAATACGAATCAGCTTTTAAATATCGTGTTATTTTATACGTTAAAATCATTCATTTTAAACTTAGTAATCCTTTATTGATTTGTAAGCGTGACCATTCCTCCGTGCTCGACCGTGACATAAAAACTGGGGATTTTGAAATTAGTGGAATGCAAGCTTCATAAAATTGCATAAATATTTATAAAAATATGAAAAAATGATAAATTAAAACTACATTTTCTAATATCAGAGTAAATTTTAAGTTGCCGACGTCATTAAAACTTGTCATTATCTAACGCGACTGGCTCAAGGTTGTCCGTTGTATGAAGAATTAAAAGGATATTTTTCTAAAGAAACACTTAAAACTAATAAATTTGTTTTCATATTATGATAAAGAAAATATATTTTTAACGAGAATATATTTAGACAATTCCCCACTTTTCTATACAAAAATAAAATCGTGGTTGTTTATTTTAAATCACATTTTTAAACATTTAAATTTGTGTTTTTATATTGGATTTTATTCTAGAAAAGCGGGAAATTGTTTTTTATACAGGAAAAACTCATAAATGTTTTTGATATTCGAAAAAAAGAAAGAAAATTAGACTAAACGCTGGATCCCCGCGGTAAAATTTTTTAGCGCAACACTAAAAAATTCATTAAGAACTGGAAACATTGTTTGTTAGCTGTAAAATAAACAAAAGAAAGTGCTATCCAAACACGCGCAACGGTAACATTTTCTATTACTTTCATCATATTTCAAGAAATCTTATCTTTATTATTGCAAAACTTTGCCGTGTGATTGTTAAATATTTTATTATTCGATTCCTTTTTAATTAAAAATAATAATTTTTAAATAAATCAATCGCGATTTTATCGCTTTTCAATTATAGAAATTACAGTTTAAACTTGAGAAATGTTTCAAAACGGTCTTATCCGTGTCGAAATTTATGACTTTGCAATTTAAAATATTGATTTATTCTTATATAAAATGATTTTAAAATGTTTTTAGCATAAAATTTATCTACTTTTATGCATTTATTATAAAAATATAATCGAATTTGTCGCGAAAAATTCGGTGAAATTTATTGCTAGAACCGTCCACGTTTAGACGGCGGTGGAACGAAATTTAATCAATTCAGACATTTAAGTAATCCGATGTCGGAAAAAATAATATATGTGGGGAAAACAATACGGGGATATTGGTTTTTACTGTGAAATATTTCGCATTAAGCAACGATCCCGATTGTATCACGTTCTGTATGTAACTCGATTCGCCATACTGAAAGTACTGTACGTCTACGGTATCCACCATCTTGCTAATTACAAAAGTTGCTTCAATTTATGATCGTAGCATTAAAAATCAGCGCCAGTGATCGTATACAATTACAAAATAATTTTAAAATCTTTTAATTTCTTGCGCCATACGCAGAGACTTTGCTTATAAAAACCCCAAGACTTTTTCCTGGTAAGCGATTATGTTAATTGACTTAAAATCATTTAAAACATTTACGTATTTTTAACGAAGAATCACGAATGTGGCCACTACGGGGGATTCTTGAAAGGAGGTTGAGATTGGAAAAAGTATAGTTAAAATTAAATAAAAATTAAAAAAACGTCTAAGAATTAGATGCAATAAGGTAATACTGTAGATGAGTCATTGAAATTTGGCACATACGAGCTATTGAATATCTGCCATTATTCAGTCATTTATTTTCTAGGAAGTACGCTTCATTAAAATAAATTAATAGCCAATATTTGCTTCGGGTAAAGTCCTTCGTTTAACATTAGGACAGATGTTTGTCTTCACGCATTTAAAAGATTATAGAAGTAAACATTTGACGAAGTACTCGTCTTTATTGCGACACTTTAATAGGGTTTCCCCTTTCACATTTTTCTATAAATAATTTCTTCGTACAATTCGCCATATCTAGAACAAATTATTTTGTTAAAAAGTTTATTTTATTAGCTAAAATTCTTGATAAAAATTATCTTTATATAGTTTTTAAATGATAACACATATACTGTAGTACATACTGCGTTGTATTTGACGGGACTATTGTATTAAATCCCTTAAAAATTATTTCTTTGTACAATTCATTACATTAATTAAAAAAAAATTGATTTCATTTGCTAAAACCTTGATAATCTCTTACGTTTACGTGATATTTAAAGGCAAAATTATCGCGGTATATACAGCGTATTGTACTGTATTTAATGAGGATTTTGTACTGTATTGTAACATATACGCAAATGATTTTTTTTGCACAATTCACTTTATCCAAAGCAAATTATTTTGTTAAAAAATATATATTTTATCTACTCAAATCTTGAAAACTTTTTATCTTCATAGATTTTTTATCTATATGGTTTTTAATGGATAAAATACCTACTGCAATCTGTGCCGTATTGTTAGCCTATACCGAATTGCATTATAGTTAATTGGGATATTGTAGTGTACTCCTTAAAAGTGGTTATTTGTACAATCCATTACATCTAGATCAAATTATTTTGTTAAAAAATATACTCTTTACGCTCAAACCCTGATAATTTCTTATCTTTATATGATTTTTAAGGGTTAAAATTTGTACTCCAACTTGTGTATTGCAGTAAAATTAGCTCCAGAATGTTTTTAATAAATACTTTACATTAAATACAAATGAAAACTTTATTTATTTAATGCTCTTCGTTGCTAATTGTAATTTAACGAAAAGTAATTAAAATATTTCTAATCATTTTGTACGGTTTTATCATTAATTTTAATTAAGAAATCAATTCTTATAGATAAACAAGTAAATTAATTTGTGGATTAGAAACTAATAGGGAGTTTTGTTAAATAATTACTTGTTAATCTTATCAACACCAAACTGTCACAATTAATCCTAATGATTTTAACTAAATTTTATAAAATTTAAAACTTTATTTACTGTTTCTTATTAGAAAATATAAGCCAAGAAACATTTAATTTTTTAAAAATTATTTTAAGTAATTTTTATAAAACAAAATAAACAAATTAGTTAGGGCGTCGTGCTTTTAAATTTGTCATTATTTAGTGCAAGGAAAGGGCCTTTTATATGTTATAACTTAAGGTCATAAGTTTATGGATTATAAGTAACAAAAATGAACCATCTTAGAACTAAAATTTAATAAAAGTCTCTTCAATCTCTCAGTTTTTAGATGATGATCTGTCTAGAAGAAGGGAAAAAACCATTTATTTCAGGTTTTACTGTCAAGTATTTATAGTAAATTATCATAGAATGCATTTGTTAAACATGTTTTTAGATAATTAAAAAAAAATACAAGGATAACGTATTATGCTTTATGCATACCCTCCAGTAATATTCGCATATGATTGACGTAGCACAGCCTAACCCAAATTTCAATGTCTAAGTTCCGAAACAAAGTAATTTAAAAGGCAACATGTTGTGTGTTTGTGCTAAATGTGAACAAATTATACCATTAAAGACTTATTTAATTACAAAATGAATGAATATTTTAATAAAAATTGAAGATTTGTGATTAAATTCTATTCAAACGTATACAAATCTCATAAATGTACACGATTTCAGGTACTGCGTATGTATAGGATGTATCAGATATTCATCGATTGATGTAGGAAACAGATTTGAATGGCAAATATTTTCAGTAAATTGATTTTAAAGTTGTTAATTAACATTAAGCAATGTCACATTTCATTATCAATTAATTATATCTAATTAATCATGCAACCGAATTGATAATTATAAATTTCTAGTAGCAAATGTAAGAATGGATGCAAAATATTTAATGTTTTTATAGTTGTAAGCCATGTTTTTAATGTTATTTGGCTACTATGTAAGATAATTAATTTCTTCCTAGCAATATAAGTTTATCAGATTTTCTATCCTTTTAATAAATTGCTAATGAAAACGATGTTTACCTCGTGTAATTAGCCTGAGGTTAATTTTCGAGCTGTAAATATTAACAAATCTTTTATGTATTTTCTTGACTTTTAACCTTACTAAATGAAAGATTTTTCCTAGTGTAGTCTGTAAATAGAATGAATGTTGTTTAAAATTTAAATGTCTCGGTAATCTAAAAATAAAATCTTCCAGTCGAAACGCGGATCGAAAATTCTTTAAAGTTTTACAAGAGGAAACCGTATAAAGAAGTAATTTAAAAAGATATGTAAATTTAGTATCCCTCAACCGGTAGATCGCGATCGCTTAGATGCGTGCGAAATGTATTATAAATGAAATCACTTATGATAAAGGTTGAGAAGTTAACAAACACATACTCAAAATCATAAAACTTAATTGAATTTATACATAAATTTAAGACAGATCTAAGCATAAATTGATTTTGAAATATAATTTACGGATTAAGACCATAAATTATGCGTAAAAATAGCTTAAAGACAACTTTACGCGGATTATGTAGGTTAATAAACCGCTAATAAGGATCCAAATCATAAAATTTAACCGGATATGGACCTAAATTTAGCGAATAAATTGATTTTGAGGCTAGTTTATGAATTAAATTAAAGATAAAAAAGCATTGCTTAATCAATTAGAAGATTGCTAAATAGTTAATGCCACTTTACTTATTGAAAAAATGGTAAAAGCTCTCGATATAACGGAATAAAATCATTAAAAATTCAAGCATTGCGGATGAAAAAAAAAAGGAAAATCAGGTAGAGTTATTGCTGGTTATCCGTGGTATACCACAAATAAAGTTGTTTATATCTTTTGGATATACCTGAATTAGTTATCAAGTTAGAAGTCAGACATAAACAAGTCACGAGTTCGTTGATCTGAACGAATAACGACACTTGGCTTAGTTAAACCCGATGACCAGAAATTTTAACATTGCGGAATCATCGTTAAGAATAAGGATAAACCACATTTTGTCTATAATTAATTTCTTTACTGGATTCAAATCAATCCGAATAGTAAGTGTAGGCCCTCTGCATAATTTTAGTCATAAACTAATTGCGCCTAATTGTAGCTATACAACTATTTATAAATTATGAGATAAAATTGATTTATTTTTCCAATTTCGGGGCCCCTAGGCGTGTGCCTCACGTGCCTAGTGGGCAATCCGGCACCGGTCCTAGTAATAGGGAGCCAGCTGAATCGTTTACCGGGGCCTCAAAACATTCGTTACAAAGTAACAATTCCGTTGCATTTCGGGTGTATTAAAAAATGCCTTTATTAATTCATTTTTTCATACACTGGGGCCTTTTTCCATCCCCAACGGGTCCCAGTACGTATAAATGTGTATATTTAAATAATTTTTTGAGTATTTTTAACTCCTTCTCACGTAAAACATCCCAAATTCCCTCGTTTTATTATCATTACTCGCGGGGAGGAAGAATAACGCCGAATAAAACTTTCACTGTATGGTTACGTAAACAAGATGAATTATTGACGTCATCGATTTTTGTCACGTGACAACCGCCCGGTTTTATCTTGAGAAACAATACAGATGATTCAAAACACCATTAAAAAAATAAATTTTCCTTATCTTAACAAGAAAGCATTTAAATTGCTCCTTATATATATAAATGCATTAGCCTACGCCATTTTGTTATTATGTTTATTCTGGTTCGCTGTGTGATATTTAGCTTCGCTTCTTAATAAGGAAATGTTGCCGGTACACGTTTCATATTTTTGTAATTCAAACACCAGATTTTTATCTTCTTCGTTTCAAAATAAATAAGTGAACCGGATGAAAACAAGGACTGGAAACTGCTCCAAAATTTATAGAAATGCCAAAGAGGGTAGGAAAAATACATGTATATAAAATGCCACGTTTCCATTAAAAGAAAATTAACACGACGTCACGATATTACTTCCTCCTTTACAGCATCTGTTTTCCACATCTACGCAATAACAATTTTGAAATACCGCTGCTGTACGTTTTAGTGTACACTTCTTTTATTTTTTGTGTACATTGTGCATATTCCTTATCCATTACTCATTTCGTGCCCTTTTTACACCCAATTGCACATTTCTTACCCTTTTTGTGTACATTTTTGTACGTATCGTGCATATTTCTTATCCATTACCCATTTTGTACTCGTTTCTCAGCATTGTTTTGTCCGACTAAAAACAAATGCCACCATAATTATCGTGTTTAAAGATGTGCACGAATTGTTTTCACGTGGATAACCCGTAAACAACTCGTGCTATTGATAATGGAAGAAGAATAAAAAGAAAATAATAGAAAAAAAAGCATGCAGATAAATCAAAATTGTTATCCGGTCGAGCTGTGTAAAATCGATGTTTAGAGGGGACACACCTACTCTCCTGTACTTACCTATGTCGTAGGAATGGAGTAGATCCACATCCGGGTCTCGTTGTGTGTCGCCTCTTGTGTTGTTGACGTTGTTTACTTGTTAAAGTTGTGACAGGTCGTCCGCTTGACGTGTTATTGTCATGGATTTTTAAAAAAGTAACGTTGCATATTGGGGTAAGTCAATTTCAATACATAATAAACCAATTACGTATCGATCTCGTGTTACGCAAATGTGTCATCCCGTCTTTAGCATTTTATGCACTTTATTAACTAATTTTTTTTTTACGTGTGACGCTCGTTTGATGTTGCAAATTGAATTTTTTACCGTTGCACCGAGCATAAAACAGGGATTTATTTTATATAATATCCGAAAATTGGGTCATTTCTGTAGCTCGCAAACAGCAAAAACACTACCTTTTTTAATTATTATTGCACAATTATGTCAGCAACTTAAAAGTATATTTTAAAAAAAATCGATAAATAACAGTTATAAAAATACGGGAGGGAATTTTTTCTCACGTGTTTAATTTTCTTATTTTCTTTGAAAATGAAGGGGGAAATCAATAGAAGTGTTGTTTTGTTGCGTGTTTCTCGATTTTTACAGTCGTGTTTCTATAAATTTAGATTATTTGATATTTCCGCCTTCACGTGTACATTTACGCGTATACATTTAACGAAGTAGGAATGAATTTCGTGATATTTGTTACGTTAACCAGTCGAAACCTTATCGATCGCCCTTCGTTTGATGATGATAAACGAGTAGAAATATCATAAATTCTTAAGAGAACGATTGTATTTTGGTAAGCGCGCTGGTAATTTATTCATAAAAAGCCACCGCATAATTTCGAGGAAGAGGATATTTCAAAGAATTATTCTTTTTTTGAACTTTTAGAAGGCATTCCTTATAACTGGCAAGAGGCCAAACAGTGTCAGGTGCAACGATTGGGTCGTATCCAAGCTAAGCATGGCTGCTTTCGAGTGTCTACGTATGTCTAACCACAACAAAAGTTTCGTGTCCCCGAGATGACGATGATTAAAATTTTTTTTTTTAAATAATACTGCGCTTATTCATCGAAGATGGGAAGATCAGTATCCGTTTCGGAATGTGAGTGATAAGAGTTTAAGAGCCTTGGTAAGGCACAATTGTCAAAATTTCAACCGATAAATTCTTAAGATAATGACTTCTTAGCTTTCGATTTTTGGATCGGTGCCATTATTCATAGTTTATTCTCGAAGTTAGAACTTTTTAACACGCTCGTTACTAGTCATATTTTAGTTATAACGTTACCGGGAAAGTGTCCTTGTTTTGTGGATTAGTCGTAGGATGAGGGTCTCGAGAATTTGACCTCCTTCTAAAGCAAAACCTATAATTAAAGAGGTGGAATCGAGTAACTCGTTTGGAAGGTAGAAAATTCCATTTTTCTATTGATTAATATGCGATGTTTGTGTTAGAAAAATGCATTTGGATGGTAACTAAAACAAAACCACAAGTCGGAAAATAATTGTTTTTTCATATTCATTTCATCATCTGACATTAAATGTCTTTCCTTCTTGAACAAAGGCCAAATCTATTATCCTACTTTGACCCGAAAAAATAGGAAAGATGGGCTGAACGAATTTATTTACGCTATAAATTCTATAATTTTGCCAATGTTGGCATCCAAATTGATGATGATTTACATATTTACTTCATCAGTTAGGCCTATATATAAATCCTGCAAATTACTTGTTTACTTTCCGAGTGAATCCTTAAAATGGAATTAATATTTCTAAAATTACTCCATTTTGACACGTGATAGGGATTATAAACGCGATTAATTCTAGTTTTCGCAACGTAACGATGAAAATAATTAAGTTTACACGATAAGCTTATGTATACTTATGCTAAAAAAGTTGACTTATATTTGTATTATGTAAATTGGGCCTTACGACGATAAATTTCTAAATATTAAGTTATTTATGTTTAATAAACGTTAAAATGCGTGGTAAATGGGCGAATTCTCTGTTAGAAAAATGAAAGTTCCCGAGAAAATATGATCGTCGAAACGTTTTCGAAGCTTCGTTTCGACGTTTGTGGCATTTTTTAAAATAGTAATTTACGATAATTTTAAAAGAAGTTATTAAATAAATAATCCAGTATATGCTACTTAACTGAAAACTACTAAACTTTTCCGATTATTTTACCATAATTTCCTTAAATAATTAAAAATGTCTAATCATTTAAATTTTTAAATATTTATAGGGCTGTATTTGTATTTTCTATTCCTCGACCGGCCTTATAAATTCTAGTTTAAGCGTCGAATCGTGAATTAGACCTAGTCCTACTTTTGCAATGCGATAAACACGCTACAGAAGAAGTAAACAGATTTATTTTGTTTACTTTATTATTAAATCAAGAATATTTTATTGGATTATTTATGGATTTATTCGTCTCTTCTAGGATTTAGTCGGTGGCGTACGAGATTACGTCGTCGTAAATTAAAATAAAAATCGATTTATCCGCATTGAAATGCAATTTTAGCCCGTTAAAATGAATTTATCTCGCTCTATACCGTTACTTTAATAAGATATTTATAAGAGAAAGATGTTATAATTTGATAAAACCGTAGGCAATATACACGAATCTAATAGCCATTAGTGAGTACGAAATTAATTTACGGTGCAAATTTTTGTGGTATTGATCGTCGTGACGGCATCGTGTTGCAACCGAATGCTTTAATTTGTCAGTAGACCTATTAATAGAATATGATAACAGGTTTCGCACTTAGATTGCTTAACGTATTTTTAATTTCTCCTTTTTCTCCTATGATTTTATGCGTTCGAATACAAAAATATGAAATAATTTAGATTTTGTTGCATATTATAAGAACGACGACTAAAATTTGTTTAAACTTAAAATGTCCAAGTTTTCAACCGGAAACTCCAGCTTACGTAATGATAAACTATACCCTTTCGGTTGCCGCCATGTAAGGAAATCCAAGTTATAATAATTCGATTTTTGCCAATTTTATAAAATTACCTTTCCAGTTTCGTAATTTTTATATAATTTATTAACACGTATTTACGCTTATAACGTTACCGCCCGTAACGTTATAAGCGTAAGTTTCTCGCAGTTTTAAAATACAATTACCGCAAAGTCTCCAGGCATTAGATTGTATCTCGGTTGATAAAAAAATGCTGCGAATAACGATTTCGATACCGTACATGGCGAAAGTTCATCCGGAATTTTCAGTTGTCAATACGGAATATAATGCTTAGAAAAATGAAAAAAAATTGAAATTTGTTCAGATAAAAGAAGGCAGCTTACGGTACCCTAGGATGTTGCGCCTGCCATACTCCGGCACGTCTCTAAAGATTGGTAAGGCAGAAAGAAAAGGATCTCAAAACCTTCATTTTCCTACGGAGGTGTCTTTAGAGGAAGAAAACCTTTCCGAGAAAAAAGAATTAAGCTCCCGCGAGAGAAAACATTACAATCCGCAAAAGTAGCCGTTAAAAGTGCATAATTTGCATGGAATTTTTATTACGTTGTCGGTGTTCTATTTGAAAGTTAAGCTATTTTTGTAAAGGAAATTGTCGAGTACTTAATAACTCGAACCTAACAGGAAAATGGTGCGCTCGTTATTTAAATAATATATATTTTCTTTTAAATTTGTAGTTTTCCTTTCTCATTAAACTATAAAAAGCCAACCAATTACCCGTTCTCGATTTAACTCGGCATCGTGTTTATAGGTGGAAACATTTTTCTCGTAGTTGAATAGGTTATTAAAGAAAGGAAGTTTGTCGCAAAATACATTCGTTGTACTTGTATCAGATGTATTATAAACAAGTTTGAATTAGATAAATATGTATCTTTATTTTTATTCTTAGCCAAATTAACAAAAACTCGACTGCAATCACATTTTTCACACTACTTTTTTGCTTATCGAAATGGCCTGAAATACGGCGCATTGTCTTAACTTTTTATATTTTAACCAAACGGGCTACAAATTAATTTCGTTTATCGTAAAAAAAGGACGAAACTTTCGCTCTAAACGCGGTTACTCCGCAAAGGGGTGCCAGCGGATCCGTAAATTAATTAATTAAATTACGGACCGTAATTTAATTAATTAATTTTTAAATAAAATAATCCTTTAGACTAAATAAAGACGATTTAATATTTCTTAAGACCAGCTTTATTATTATTATAATCAGTTAAAAAGCTTAAATTTATGCGTAAATTACTCTTACCTCATTTTCGAGTCGAGGCGCGTAAACGTTAGCGAAACAGAAAGCGAATGTGTGAAAGTGTTTGGCGCATGTGCCCGTGTGACGGAATCGAACGTGGGAGTGAATTGATGTGGCGCGCGCGAATTGATCTTGCCTGTGTTAAATAATCAGTTGCTTATCTTTGGTTTTCAGTCGGGAAGTGAGACGAAAAAGCCAAGTGGAAAGCCATGAGCTGTTTACAGTTACCTCAGAGTATTCTCGGTACAACGTAAGTACTTTCTCTTTGTTTAGTCACTCGTCTTCTTCCATTTTTAAAGCGTGTAACCACTCATTGACAGAGTTCCGTATTTCACACTTCCAATACCAGGCAAATTTTGCAATTTTTCCACTTTTAAAAGGTGGTTTTCGCGGTTTTCTAAATATTTAAAATTTATATAAATAAATTTAAATACAGACTTTGAGAATAATTAAATGTACTGTACGTGTATTGTACGCCGCTTGAGTTTTTTGTTTGCCGCCGTTAAAATTTATCTTGTGCTTGCCAGGCCGGAGCAAACGTCCTAATTGAGAAGAAAATTTCAAATATTAAATTAAACTGCAGAAATATATCAATTTTATATAATGTCTTTGGGAACGTTGCGGTCTAATTACCGAGTAACTGAGCTCTACAAATATTTAAATAATAAGTGCCGGCGGCGGCACGGATCTGGGACGGACGGACGCGATAGGGACCGGGAGAGAGCCGTAGAGCGCCTCGGCGGGAACGAAAAAGTCGACGGAACCGCACCCGTACGGGCGGTCCTTCGCCGGACGTGGCCCCCGAGATGCCTACGGGTGAAGTTTTCGGCTTTCTTTCTCGTCTGGACGAACCGCTAAAATAATTTATCTGCAAGAAATGTTTGGTGTCCGAACGCCAAACATTGTCGTCGTATGGGACCATCCAAATTTCCGGCGACTTCGAGATTATATATTTGTATGAATTTATAAATTTACTGAGATTTTTAAGCTTTTAGTAACGGATCAATTGATAGTACTTAAGTAGCATCTAATAATATAATAGTTTTAGATTATCCTATGATAAGGAGATAATTAATTTCGTATGATGTAAATTAAGTATGATTAAGGGTTATCCTGTCCTTTCTTTTAATAATAGGCATTCTCTTTCAATCTGGCTTTATAGTCAAAATAAAATATGACTTCTGGAAGAAGTGTTTATTATTTTAAGTTTTAAATAATAACAATAGTTCTTTAAGTTAAAAAAAAAAAAAAAAGAATATATTATGTTTAGACCTTCTTGATAGTACATTCTTAATTAAGACAGGCCTGTAGTGACGAGTAGTACATTCTTTAGGTAGGTTTTAAGATAGTAGACTCTTTGGGCAGCCTTGAAAGCGATGCATTTTTCTTTCTGTAGATGTCAATTATACTTATAACAAATTTATTTTTATTATCGTCAGATCTTTTGAAACTGCTTTAATTTTTAATATGTTTACGGCAAAATTTTGTAAAATATTTAAAATTTAAGATTGACGCGAGATTGGACTATAGCTATTTGAAATTTATATTAAACGAAATGTCATAGTTGACGATATTGTAAAAATAGATGTAGATTTGTTCAATATTTGTCATTTATAGATGTTGAATAAAAAATTGATGATATAAGCAATTTAAAAAAGTGTTTTTAAAGCTAAAAGATTTTTATGTAGTTTTAATTGCTGCCATATGCTGTCACGTACAGCTGAATATTTGCCTACTGATGTTAGCCATATTTAAACAGCTGTTGCAGAAAAAAATCACAAATGTAATCTAATATTTTTTAGTATTAATAAAATTTGAATCAATCTCTCAGTTTATAGGAAGACAAAAATGATTTTTGGTAAATCAAAATCCATGTAAGAAGTGGTGTGTTAATATAATTTTAAATATAAATGATGTACTTTGTTGAATGATATATATTTAAATTAGTTTGATAAGCACTGCAATAGACACAAATTTTCTCCATTTGATTTTAATGCAACGTATTAATATTTCAACGAAATGGTAGAAATTGAATAATAATGATTCAATATATATTCATCTTTTTAATTTCTAAAATTATTTTCAAAATTACTGCTAAAAGTAACCAAGGCCAAGATTAATGAAAAACAAATTAGGAAGAAAAATGTTACTAATGATGTGTTGGTAATATCAAAATTTTTCAAACTTCTTACTTGATACTTTCAGTAATTTTTTAAGTTGTTTTAAATATGATGAATGTGCAGAGAAACTTGGAAGTTATCCCAATATTTTTTACTACTGGATCTATTTATAAAAATATTTTAATAACTGACGATAATAATTTATGAATTGTAGCAGTTACGTATAACTATATTAGATCGTAAAATGGTCGTAGACAAAAGTAATTAATTTTACTTACATAAATGGAACTCCACTTTATCCCATTTAAAAATGTAGTTGTGGAAGAAGTAATTAGTACAGATATAAAATTTAATGTGCAATTTCTTTTTATATTGCTTTCTTCAATAAAATAATAACTCTAAATATAAGTTTGTAATAAATAAATATTAGGAATAATTTTCAATGATTAAATAAGTATTATTCAGTAGGTTGGATTCTTTAGCTTCCATTCCAACTGGTATTATTTGTTGTTGTTTTTAAAATTTATATAGAAAAGTAATTAAATATTCTTAGTTTAAAAATTGTATATCAAATATATTTTAAGCTTTCTATAAATTTATATTTTTGTTTATATTTAATTCAGTTTTAAATTATTGTGGTTCAGTCATATAACAAAAATGAAACCAAACAACTACCAAATATGGCAATACAGGGTAGAATAAAAGAAGAGAGAGAACTTGGATTATATGGATTAACCACTTAACAATCACATGGATTTTATTTAATATACGAGGAACAGGTATATTAAATAAAACAAATTTCTGATCTGTGAAACTTTGCCTCAGTATCTGTAAAGCCAGTCTAATAAGTCCTGATAATAGAAATTACGTGCTAGTAGACGGAAAATTTATATTATAATAAACCAAGAATGTTGAGGCGTATTAATCTAATTTTATTTTGTTTAATCACAAATAAAATATCAAATGCACGTAAATGCACACATTGTCCTGCAAAAAATTACTGGCATTTTAAACTTTAAGGAAAAATCTTATAAAATCAACAACACAATTTGTTCGTGTAAAGCTGGACAATCGAGAACTTTTTTGCCAATTCTTAATGATCGAATTCCCTCTTTGTCGATTACACTTATGAGTTTCTCCAAATTCAGGTTTCCAAATAATCATTCGTTTTCACATGGAAATGGATTAAATCTTATATCGGGCTCCCGTATGATTTTGCAATTTCAATTTGGAATTCAATTCAAAAGCTTTGCTTTTCATATTGCTATTCATCTTTACTCCTGACAATACACAAGAATGATTCAAAGAATCCTTCATTCGCACATATAGGATGGCCTAAGTTTTTGAAATAGTGAAAAATGAATAAACATTGTCTTATATGCAAGTAAATATGGTATATATAATATAAACTGTTCAGTTCCATAACTAAGCAGTTATTGTTTTTGTTTTCATAAATATTTTATAAATTTTCATGATGCTGTTTTGAAACATTTAAGCTTTCATAAACAGTACTTGAGCTAAATTAGTTTTATTTGACTTTTAAAACTAACAAGTTGGCAATATTTATAAAAATTTTAAGAATTGTCAAAATTAATTGAATAATAATGTTTGAATATCTGCTGCCTTTGTTGTTCAGTGAGGTATTAGTAACTAGTAGCAAGATTAATGTGAAACAAATTAGGAAGTAAAATGATATTAATGCCATGTGGCAGTCAGTTGAGGTTTTTTACAATCATACTTTTTCCATAAATGAATTTGCTTGTGTGTATGTGTCTTTAAATCCTAACATATGTTAAATAATAGATTTAATATTTTATTACATAATTTGATTTAAAAATTGGAAAAAGTAAAATGGAACAAGACTACATGTATCAAAGCAGATGATTCAATGTCTGCTTTAAAAATTGACAATAATCTAGTGTCAGAAATAGTAGAAGCAAAGATATGATTTCATATAAAATTATATATTTTTTCATCTGTAGTTTTTCATAAAACTTGGATATTGCAATCACACCTAGCACTTTTGTAAAAATGTAATGCTTTGTTTTTATATTGGTGACATTAAACGATACAAAATAAAAAAAATTATTTGTATTCATCCTTAAGAACTCTGCATGTAACTAGTTATTTTTTACATTTTATTTCCATGATCTTCTATACAATTGATAAGAAAAAAGTGCTGTTTTTGAGAAATAGTTTGTATGGACGAAACTTAATTCACATTTATATTAATTCTCCAAGAGTGTCGCGAAATATTACACAATAGCATGAAAAGGGAATAAATTACACATATCATTTTAAGATAAATCACTTAAGTATTTTTAATTTTAATTACTATTATATTTTGATTAACTAATTGATGTAATGATGGACTTCTGGAAGAAGTGTNCCCTGTTAAATATCTAATTTTATTTGATTTCTTTACAATTCCACAAGCTTTATACCATAAATTTTACAATTTTTCAAATTAAATGTATTTATGTTTACATATTTAATATTAAATGAGAATTAATAAATTTAATTTGTTTATAGTTTGTTTATTATAGCATTAAATACTTTATTTATTAATAAACAAAAACAAAAAATTTTATAAAGTGTAAGATGTAAAATTTTTTAATACTTTTCTTGAAGATTTAATATTTAAAAAATTACCATTATTTTATTTTTGATTATTATAGTAAAATGAGTACAAAAGATTTTTTATTCTCTTCCTTTCTTTAAAATTTTATTTTTTTAATAGAAACAGAAAAATAGTTATTCTCTTCCTGTTTTGAAGAAAAATATTTCAAAAATAAGTCCTGCAGCTTCTAATTTTAATTTCTGCTTTCAAATAGTTTTTTCTTTGTAAAGTTTCTAGAAATTGGTTTAAAATATTTTGTTAAATTGATGAAATTTCATAAATGAGAAGACAAATTATTCTATTTTACAATTCAGCAAAGATGATTATGATGATTGATAAATATTTGAGTGGTAAAATTTTCAAAATTTTATTATATTATTTTGGTCTGAATAAGTTTAGTTTAAAGCTAGACAATTTAATTTTAAAATTAATTTACAATTGTAATAATTAGTTACCAAAGTGGAGGAAAGCAAAAATAGTTTTCTGAGCAAAGTAACTTGTTTTATTTAAATTATCAAAACTAAGTTGTCATAATCATGAACAGTAAGCTTTTGGCCTGTTTATTCTAATCTTTGCCTACTTTTTGAGACACTTTATGCATCTCAAAGTGTATATTCAGTTTAGCCAGCAGTTACTCTCCCCTCTCCATTCTAATTAGGTGTTCTTTTTAATTTATCTGATCTAATTTCAGTGTTATTCACTAAATTGTCTACTTTCAATTTTCTTCTAATATCCAAATTCCATTGCCAATTTAATTTAGTGATGTTTAGCATTGGTCTGTCTCACATGTTCAAAAATTGGAAGTTGTTCATGTCTTTTGATTTGGAACCCAGATCTCAGGAGAGGGTAATAGCACATTACCATCTCCAAAGGTTTGATAGCTAAATGCCTGAATAAAAGCATGTCCTGTCATTCTGAGGGATCCAAATTTGAGTTCAAATCAAATTTTTGAGTGATTTGGCTCAGATCTAGATGCAATTTAATCTGCATTCCTATTCTGATAATCAAATGCTATTTCTGATTATGTTATTTAAGTTATTTTCATAAACTCAAGAAATTATTTAAACATTAGATTGAGATTCTATTTTCAATAGAATAAAACATGTTTTATTATTTTTAATTCTCTTATTTTCATGTTTTACCATTAATAGTTATAGATGTAAAATCATTGAAAACCTTTAATTTAATTTAGTGTCAGTAAATTTCATACATTATTATTTCAAATACTGCTTTTATAGCTGATTTATATATAATCTCATTTAAGACACTCTATTGTACAGTTAAATTTTGAAAACTTCTACAGGTGTACAGAAAGCAAAGATGATATTTCATATCGATTGCTGCTGGGAACATCATCCTCGTCGTTGGATACAGATCATAGCTTCTCTATTTGTGAAGATGATGAATCAAGCAACTCACAAGAGGTAAGAATTACAAATATGTTAGACAATACATTTGGTTTATACTACTTGAGTTTTTATGTAAATATAGTGTAAAAAGCAAAGCAAATTATGCTGTAAAATAAAAATATATATGCATAGATAAGATGATTTGTTCTAATTCTCCCTTTTTCTTTTGATAACTAGATGGCTGAATAAAAGCATGCCCTGTCATTCTGAGGGATCCAAATTTGAATTCAGATCAAATTTGAGTGATTTGGCTCAGATCTGTTCAGCTGTTTCCCTCATCTCTTAATTCTCCTATAGTGGACAGGCCAAAAACCAATGTAGACATGGAAAAGTCTTCTTAGTAATCCTAGAGCAGAAAGTTTTTTTTAAAAAAAGAAATTATTTTCCTATATTATTTCAGAATTTGACAAACATTGAAATATAATTTATAATTTTTGAAGTTTGTGTTACAGTCTATTTGAAGTCAATTTACAGTCTATTAATATTTATTCTACTTGAATATAACAATGCTTATTTATTCTGACATCATTTATTTACAATACTCATTTTAAGTACCTTTTTTGTTATGAATAAATAATTTTTAGTGTAATTTTCTTTGTTTCATTATCACTAAATTTTTGTAGACTAGAAACTTCAGAAAACTATTTTCCATTCTTTGGTATTATTTATCAGTTTCATTCTAAATCATTTTCTTTGTTACTATTTTTATATCAACATTAAATTGTTTTAGAATGTTTGTACATTCTTTGCAACTATTTCTGATGTTTAGATGCTTGTAGTGCACAAAAAAGTGCACTGTCAGCTTTTTTCTTCATCCAATTACCTAGTTGAGTAACCATTTTATAAGACATGTTTACAGACTTGTAATGTCTTTACTTGTATTATTTAAACATTTTTGGACTTTAAAGCATGTTTAAAAATTTAGAAATTTAACAAAATCTTAAACATCATTTTTTATTTTTGTATTAACTAATAAAAATCATATTTATTTTCTTATTCAGGTAACACTGAATTTTTATTTACAAAATGGTAGTTGCCAGAGACTTGTTGTGGAAGAGAATTTAAGGGTTTTAGATATGTGTCACCTTTTATCACTGAAGTTTAATGTTAGCAGATCACATACATGGTCATTAGTTGAACATATACCAGATTTAGGAATTGGTAAAGTAAAAAAATTAAATTCTAACATTATAAAATTTAAACTTTTAAAATACAATGATAGTAATATTATTTATACAGAAAGAAGCTTAGAAGACCATGAAGAAGTTTTAAAAGTTTATGTGAGTTGGAGTTATGAAAATAGAACAAATAGTAATAAATTTGTTTTTAAACAAGATTTTCGTAAATATGAATTTTTTAATAGTCCACAAGTAAGTTTCATTCTTCTTTCTCACAAATTTACTTTCATTTTTTAACCAAAATTAGTTTATTAATAAATCATCCATTTTTGTAAGCAGCAATTTTTTCCATTGGATATGGTCGACTTAGAATGTCAAGTAGACTGTCTATCAGAATCAACCGAATTAGCAAAATTAATAACATTACAGGTAATTTCAAAGAAATGGAATATTTTTAATTTTTGTTCTTTAATCTAAATCATGTTTTATTTTTATATATTAGAATATGTTAAATTCAGGAGATAAAGTACCAATTATTCAAAGTCAGTTATGGTATCAAGAATCAAGCAAACATTCCTGGAGGAAATTATTCTTCAGAGTTGAAGATGGTACTTTGTATATATCTTCAGCAGAGTCAAAGGTACTTTTGTTCATTTATTTTGATATCTTTTATTGCTTGTTTGGAAAATTTTTTTTTTTTTTGTTAAGACATCAAATGGTCACATGCCAGATACCAGACAGCTTTGGGCATTTAAAAATATCCAGCAATATGAAATTTATACTTCAACCAAAGACAAGAATAATGGTCAACCTACAAAATATTGTTTTTGTTTAAAGGTAATTATAGAATTTTTGTAAAGATATTTTTATGAAAAAAATTATGATATAATTTTCTTTCAAATGAATTTTTAATTTTGGATTATTATTGTGCATCAAAATATATATCCATTCTCAAAATATTAATCTACCCAATGGGATTAATGCTTGCAGATTCCTAGATACTTGCAACAGTAGATCTGAATTTCTCCAGATCATTGTTCTGAAAGTTTTAACCATAAAGTGACTTGCCTATTTTTTTGCCACAAACATTGATGGCATCAATTGTTAAATATCTTTTTTCTTATCAAGCAGTTCTTTATATTTTCTGCTTTTTCATATTGTAGTCAATGACCATCTACCCCCTTTTTTCTTTTCACTCTTGACCAGACACTAAGAGGATCTTTTTTTAGCAAGTCCCTTACAGATTAAGCCAAACCCACAATGCCAGTGGCCTGATGGTAAGGGTCCAACATATTTGGATGGAGAACCCTGAAAAATTCCTGGGGTTGTTTGAACCCTCTTCAATCAATCACAGGCCCCAAGAGCGATAGACTGCTACCTTAACTGCTTGATTGTCTACTGTCTATCTTGATGCAAGATCAGTTTTAATGAAATTTTGTAATGTTTCATTATATGATGATTCTGTGATAATTTTTCTTGAGTAATTAACATATTTTATTGTACTTGCATCAAATGCATATTATCTTAACATGCAGAAATAACTATTGTATTTCTGTACATATAAAAGCATGCTCTTATACAGCATTTCTCTTACTTTCTGCTTGCGTGACCCAATATAATTGTTTGTAATGGTTTTGCAACCCAAATGTTTACAGTATAAAATTTTTTTAAAAACTTTGTAAACTGTATATTATATACAGTGTACCAAATAATATTATGCATTATTGATAACTTCTGTGTGTGAAATGTAACATTGGGTACATTTCTATTAAGAGCGGTTTTGGCAAATTTCAATTTTTAACAAATAGCTAACTTTATTTTCAGTTTTTAATTTTTTAATAGTTTAAAATTTAATAAAGACTGACAATTGTAAGTGAAGCACTATTTCAAAATTATTCAGGAGTCTGTTATACTTTGAAAAATATTACAAGGTTTTTTATAAACTTGGTGAACCCTTTTTAAAATGTACTTTTCAGATTGTAAGATGGTTTTGCCAATTTCATTTTGTACGTACACACACACACTGAAAAAATTATTTATTGATCCACTTGTGCCAAAGTTCATTCCTTATTTATTTTTTATAATTTATTGTTATATATAACAATAAATTATAAAACAAGGAAAATTTATTGTTATATATAACAATAAATTTGAATAAACAAGGAAATATTTTCAAAACTTTTAGGGTTTATTGTTATATATAACAATTGTTATATATATAACAAGGGTTTATTGTTATATATAACAAGGGTTTATTGTTATATATAACAATAAACCCTAAAAGTTTTGAAAATATTTCCTTGTTTATTCAAACCATTGCAACTTTATGATTACTATCTTACATAAAATATTTATTTTGATGATGTTCAAAATAGAAAAGAGAAATCAATTTCATATACACACATTCTATGATCTTATAATTATTGTCATTTAGTAATAAAATTAAGATAATTAAAAGATTTAGCTGTTGTTCCTCATTCTTGGAGAATATCTCAATAATACAAGAATTAAGGGTATTTTTTGCAGAAGATATCATTTCATGACCCAATATTGGGTCACAACCCATAGTTTGAGAAATGCTGCTCATATATGAAGATTGCTTGTTTTTGCAGTTTTAAAACACATATTTTGCTTCACTTACAAAAGAATATCTCAAAGAAACTGGCATGAAGAGCATGCTAGCTGATTTTGGTACTGCACTGCTGTGCCAATGTAAATGTAATGATACACTAGCTATTCACTGACATCTCTGTAGTAACCATCATTAAAAGTAAAAAGCCAAAATTAAAAACTTTTTTTCAATACTATAGTAGTTTTTAAAAATAGTTTTCTTTAGTTACTTTGCAGAATATAGTGCAAATTTTGTCCCATGTGTCTTATATGTGCAGAAATATAGCATAATCTCAGACTCATAGGATACCTCACTGCTTCATATATTATTTATGTATATCATATGTCTTTTTGAAATAATGTCAAAAGACAGAGAATATAATTTTTATATTTTGAAAAATACATCATATTACATAAGCATGTTACATTTTTTAATGTCAAATAATAATTAAATTTTTATTACTTTGTGTTTATTATTTTGTAGCCAACTAGTAGTAGCAAGAAAGAAGGAGCAATGATCATCAAATTTTGCAGTGAAAATGAACAGGAAAGGCAATGCTGGCTCATTGCTCTACGTCTAGCAAAAGTTAGAATGATTATGCATTATATTAAAAATTATTACTTTATTATAAGAAAAAATATTTTAAATATGTTTTCAGTATGGGAAGAAATTGAGAGAGAATTATAAAGAAATAAAGACTAGATTATCTGAGAATATTTGGAATTCAACAAAACCTGGTAGTGGTGTAATGCTATCTGTAAGTAAATTACTGTAGCACATTAATTAGTAATTACAATTTATAACATAGTGTAATGCACCGCGTACCAAAAAGAAATGAGGTTACACAATGTTAGGGTTCAAGGCCTGGACTTTTAAATCAAAAGCAATAATAATTAATAAACGACCACATATAAGTAACAGTTCACAATGAAAATATCTTTATTATTGTTTTTTTTTCCTCAAAAGTTGACTGATTGAATATTTGACAAATATATGAAGTAACAAAGAATAATCAAAGTATACAGCTTACGCTAATCACTTCTCAGAGATGTGTCTACAACATTTGTCACCAGGAGCTACACCACCCGGCTGTATTGGATGTGCCTTCTGCACTGCCCTAATTTACATTATTTTGTGTCACAGGATCAGTCCCTGATGCAAAATTAGTATCTCTGCCTTTTTGACTTTGTCCTTAAATAAAAAAAGACCCCTGAAAAGAAAATAACTAACTAAAAATAATGCCCAATAACACTTGGACATTGACTCCTTCACACCCCTCCCCTTTTAAAAGGAAATAATTTCTTTTAGTTAAGGGTTTGAAAATCAGTAGTACCAAAATAAGTGACTGTTTTGTGGAAACAGGACAGTCACTTATTATATATGGTATAGGACAATCAGTTGGCAGTCGTGCTGTTAAAGTTAAATTCTTGAGGTGGAGATTTGTCAATCATTGGTATCGTGAGGTTGTAAAAGATTACATTTTTCTGTGGTCAGGACAGCACAAAAAAGATTAAACTTTGGTGATGTTCCCTTGCTGGGGTTTCCTTCATTCGTTCCTTGGACCTCAAACCAGCAGGCTATCGGTAGTTTATTTTCCTTTGGGGTCGGAGTCATCTTGGAGATGGTGAAGATGCAGGACAGACAGACAGACATTATTCTTTATTAGTACACAAAGTACAGACCCGGTACCGCATTAGCACAACCGGGTATGATGCACAGTTACAACAGGGTAAATTTACAGAGTATTATTGTAAAGTACTATATTATTTTTCCGACTTTCCAACGATTATCGACACTACTGTGTGCCGGAAATAGCCGTTCCCTAACGGGTACTTTACGCGGATTCGCGTTAGTGTGCCAGGCCTGGACTTTAAGCGTGCACCGAATTAAATAATGACAAAGTTTGTCAATAACAAAATCAAATATTTAATTAAACTTCTA